GCCGGCTTATTGCTATTTAATTGCGCTTGATGTATATGCTTCTCCCATTGAGGGGAGCAGGGTCCAGCGAAACTTATGCACGGCCGTGTTAAGCACAGGCACTCGGAACAAATAAAAAAATATGGTAAATAAACACGAAATGTATTTACTACCACCAAAGTCTTAATGTTTCTCTACTCTCTTTTACTCTCTACTACTCTCTATCTCGCCTATTATTGCCGATAATTTCCTGTAAATGCCGTTCAAATGCTCCTCTGCAACACACAATTAAGTACACCACACGCATAAAGATTCTTCTTGTTTGTGTTGTTGTTATTATTTTTTTATTTTATATTATTTTAAATTATTAGTTTATATTATTTTATTCTTGTTATTATTCTTGTTGTTTGTTCACAGCGGCGTGCCTGCGGTGTACTTAATTGTGTGTTGCAGAGGAGCATTTGAGCGGCATGTACATGAAATTGTCGGCAATAATAGCTAGGCGAAAGAGAGTAGAGAAACATTAAGACTCTGGTAGTAAATACATTTCGTGTTTATTTACCATAATTTTTTTTATTATTGAGACGTTCCAAATGCCTGTGGTGTTAAGCACCTGGAAAAAAGAGCTAAACGTTTGTTTGGTTGATAAAATTTCACGTGCCCCGTGCTGTTATGTTAGCATGCATGTAATATAGTCTTGCTCAATTACTTCTCACATTTAATTTCCGCTATTGTTATGTGCAAACTAGCATTGATTGCGCTGCCATTGTGGATATTTGCAATGCACTGGCACAAACTCCATACGCATACAAACGGTTTACATACTGCGGCTAATGTAATGACTTGATATGTGAATCACCTGACCTGTTTTTTAATGTACCGATATGTATCCATATCCCGTAGGCATATCCGATCCACTTTCCCTCTCGCGCTTTCTTTTCCCGAGTATAGCTAAGTCCTCACACACAATCTGCCGCCATCATTAATTAACTTCATTAGCTTCCGCTTGTGTTTCGCAGAGAGAAGTTAATTAACATGCTATGATAGGGACACATGTTAGCAGGTTAATTATAACCGCCTTGGTAATGACGTATAAGCCACATATGAGCATCTGCAATATCTTTTGTCAAGCAATATTCCAGGAAAATCCCAATGCAGTGTGTACACAGGTAGGAATGCAATATAAGTAGAAATATCGATAGGAGACATTTTGTATGTTATTACACGAGGTTCGCACAAATAGCAACGCTCCGCTGGGTCTATTCTGAAATTTAGACAGTTATTCGTCACATTTCTTGTAGTCGCTCTTTCATATGTTCCCTCGGAAACCGTCACATTCTGCTCCAAAACTATGAAGCGCTCAATTATTTTACGTTCATATCCGTATAATGCCTGCTAGCAATTGTTGGCCTCGGTATCCAAGAACCAGGCAGAGAGAGAGAGAGAGAGAGAGAGAGAGAGAGAGAGAGAGAGAGAGAGAGAGAGAGAGAGAGAGAGAGAGAGAGAGAGAGAGAGAGAGAGAGAGAGAGAGAGAGAGAGAGAGAGAGAGAAGAAGCGAAGAAAGAGAGAGAGAGAGAGAGAGAGAGAGAGGGAGAGAGAGAGAGAGCGAGAGAGCAGCTGGTTTCTAATTTGGCCAGTTACAACGTCAACTAGCATTGTGAGCTCACTCATGCTGGTATCATTTGCATGTAGTTTAACAAGTGAAATGCAATACCTGGCCTACCCGTGATGTACTGCGGCATTGATGTGATAGTTTGGCAACCTTTTGCGTGCATGTCTTGTAGAGGGTCTGAATGGCCCGTTACTTTGCAACGTCTCACCGTTGTTAGCAGCGCCTCGCGTTGATCGTTTGCAGGTGCAAACTATCACCGGCAGCACTTGTTATACCGCTCGCTCTTCTGGTGTACATTTCTCATTAAAATACTGCCCGCTTAGCGTGTGTTCCCTACGCATTGTGTATAGTGAATTGTGTGGCGGTGTATACTCTTACCCAGTGTGACGTCAACCAACACGTATTTAAAAAGGCATATTTTAATCGGCGATATTACTCCAATCGGGAGGTATATATAGCGCAGTTGAGATCTACGTGCGCGGTCTCACATGCGCCAAGCGACTCGATCGCAAACATCATGTTCGACAAGATTCTTAGCAGAAACAGTTACGATTTTCTGACGCACAACGTGAGCGATGACGAGTTGTCGTCGAAGCAATTTCAGCTGCAACTGCATGTGTCTCCCTACGGTCGCTACCTTCCGCGCATTTCTAGACCGATCGTAGGTGAGTATATTGTTGCGCACAGCGAGCAGTAGGTAAACTACACACTCGCATATTGCGGTGGTGTCGCATCCGGAGTAGATCCGCATACGGTAGTTATAAGGGTCTATATGTCGCTTCCCGCAGTTTAGGAATGCATGGAATGAATATATTGTTTCGTGTAATGTACGTATGATACAAATATAACAATAAATACAATATATATATATATATACAAATATATACAAATAAAACAATTATAAGAGAATTAGAGGCGGTGTCCCTGGGAGCGACACGAGTGACGCGCGTTTCGGCGGTTATTTTTAAGCATACATAATACGAATAAATTGCGATCGTTCAGCAAACAGCTGCTGTGGCCTTATATGTGCGAGGTATAAACAGATTGACTTTAATATTCCGCGATCACATGTGTGATTAGAGTCGAAAGCAAGGACGCGCATGACTGTGGCTGTTATATACAAACGATATAACGCAATTTACCAATTAATAGTGCCAAGAGTCCATATAATAGAAAATATTTCTCCATTTTAAGATTAATATCTCTCTAATTTAAAATGGTTTTCTATTATGGACTCTTTATAGTACTTCACTTGTGGCTGTAGCTGCGCCGTCAGTATGTATAGGTATCTCAGTACTAGTTCCCATTGTCTTGCATTAATTCTTGCCTGTCATATCGTGTATCGCGTCGCCTTGTATCGTGTCAAGCTTGCATGTGACGTTTAATTAGGGGTTAATAATGACAATTTTTCATTATTAACCCCTGATTTAATTTATTCACGTGGCCGTTGGGTGCATTGCTCTTTTGTGTCAACGTGTCGTGTACACTAGGATTCACGTTGTTGCTTCCAATCCATCTTAAATTTTAATCGTTCAGCCCGTACTTGCCTCAGGTCTCATTCCTAAGCAACGCCAGTGGTCTTGCTATCACCATGCCTGCTGTCACAGTGACTGAACGTATTTTCGGCGATGAAGTTAGACATTAATGCGACCATACTCGTTACTACTGCACAGATCTCTGGGGTCAATTTCTGGTGAGCTAAGAAATGAGCTGAGAGCTATACTGATTGAGAAATTCATATCGCGCCGAATGACCACATGCATGCACCTGCGTAGATTTTTTCCCCAACTTTCAAGGTTTGTTGCTCCTATATAGTTTCCAAACGTTGCCTCCGCGGTTAGCGTCTCTACTTGTAGTCCGGTTATAGTTAATCTGATGGCATCTTCAAAGATGATAGTAGGTAGGCCTACGTATAGTCCCTTTATATAAATAGTTGCGACAACTCGCAATTTGAAACCATATTGGTTCCAAATGGATCCACGTACACCGCTGCCGCTCAAGTACATCGCTGTATGGATACGCTATACAATGATTCGTAGTAATTAATTAGACTAATCGTGCTTCAATAAACTCCAAATTCACAGAAATTATAGCTAAGACATGTGTCTATGTGTATCTAGATTTCTAGAAATGTAACTCAAATCGTTCGCGCCATATGATAGTTTAATTAAGAATATATTAAGGGACTCTAGGCCTACGTAATACGAGCGTGCGTGCCGGATGCGTGAGTGCGTTCGTGTGCCTGTGTATTGTTGATATGTGCGTGCGCTCGCGTGCGTGTCGTGATTCTAGCCTGCCCCGTTATCACTACCTATGCCTTCACTACGCTTATTAATTTTGTCACTTTTACATGCTTTTGCGCGTGAATCCATTGTCTGCTGAATAAATATTATGCCCGGCGTTATTGCGTAATCCGTTGCTGTCAGCCCAGTCTGTTGCGATCCCCTGCGCTCCGGTAAAGCACTGCTAAGAATAGCCGGTTATCGCAGAAGCTATGGACTATGGAGCCTGATTAGTCCTGCGCGTAAGTGCCACTGCCCTACAATGTGCAGTGACCCTGCACCGCTCACCGAATTCTCAACCGGAATTTGAGACGGGTTCCGCGCCGCGCGCACTGCCGGCGGGCCCGTACTCGGTGGGCCAGCGGTAGAGGTCTAAGAACAACGAACACGCAGAACGTATACTTGGTGAAAGTGAAACGAGTTCACTTTAGTAGTTAGTTCGCTTTCGTTAGAGTTCATTGCGAATGCGTTCAACTTAGCTCCACACGTGATATAGGGAATGCGCACCTTGATGGAAGACGGAACTCGCGATTGGTTATAATGTAACACCTCAGACGACGTTTGCATCGTAGACACGTCACACTTAGAAAGTCGCAACCCCAGGCCGTCTTACTATTATATACCGGACTTTGTTGCGTGTTTTTGAAGTAGCAAAGTGCTTCTGCGCTTAGCTTCCCGAATTTTGCTCCGAATTCCTGCCGACGCGTAAACCTAGGCAGTGGAAATAATGAAACATTATAAGTAAACATGTTTTTGGCGCCCCTTGACTCACACGACGCGTCGCGCGTCTTTATTATTTAATACAAATAACTACAGGTGGCGGAAAATGTCTAGTCGTGCACTATGGCTGCATTATTATATCAAGAGTACATAATAGAGATACTCTATTATGTACTATAAAATATGTGCTACATAATATCGCGTGCGTGTGAGCATCAGGATAATCTATGCGCGCAAACAACGGGCATTAATATGTGGCAGGAAGGGGTGAGACCGCGTCACTGCTGCGATTGAGTAAATAGCCGGTCACTGCTCCCAGGGGAGCGTGCAGTGCATCATGGGATGTGTTCTCAGCGCTATTAGCGGTGCCAGTTCACTGACATCAGCCTTGCATGGCCACGGATAGTTTTATTCTGCACAGCGCGTGGCAGCGCACCGGTTCGGATCCGCACTCGCTCTCTCTCTCTCTCTCTCTCTCGCACACTCGCTCACACGTGCATACGGACAGACATAGGCTTCGAGCCTCCGCTACGTTTACACGTAGTCACTGCGGCTGGGCAGTTCAGTTGCTGTATGTGCCGTGCTGCTCTCTATGGCATGACAGACGCGAGTACGAGGCGAGCTGACAGAATCCATTCGTAGCAACGAACTGAAGCTGGGATTTGCCAGAGCGCCTTTCACCTGTGTCGTTAGGCGCTGCGTTCTCGTGTGTACATATATATTTACTTATATATACATATATATACGTTCATAGGCGCAGTCTGGTAGTGGCAGTTGACTTACGAACAACACACGGACACACGTACGTACGCGCGTACGCACACGCACACATCGCTCATCATTCGTCTATCGTCGAGGATACGGTTGAGACTGATGCATATATCAGGACAGGCAGCAGGTATGAACGAGGCAGACGTGTGGCCGCCTGCTCGCGGCATGCTCGGTGTGCCCGTGGCGACGGCACCGCCGACACTGCTGTCGCACTTCTACTCGTTCGCCGGCGGTCCCATGAGCCCCGCTTCGGCCACAGCCGCCCCCCAGCTGCTGCGGGAACACGCGGTCTCCGTCTACACGCCACAGACGCAGGACACGAACGAGCGGCAGAGGTGCGTCGTCATGCCGCAGCCAAAACAGAAGGACAAATCAAAAGTTAGCGTACAGCATTTAGGTAGGAATTCAGTTGTTCTTTGTCGCCTGACTTTTCTGCACGGCTATTCTGTAGTGCTCTTCCCTCTGTCTACCTCTCTGTGTAAATATCTCTCTCTCCCCTCTCTCGCACCCTTTCTCTATCTCTCTCTCTCTGGATTTCTCGCTGTCTCTCACGTTCTCTCTCTCTCTCTCGCGTTCTCTCTCTCTCGCGTTCTCTTTCTCTCGCGTTCTCTCTCGCGCTATTTCTCTTCCTCTCTCGATCCCCTCTCTCACATACACACTTCCTCTCTCAGTCTCTCGATCGGTCTCATCGATTTTGGTGTCGTCTCAAAGGGAACCATTGATGTTGCCTGTCAGGGTAAAAAAGAGTTCGAACCCTTATGTGTATGCCAGAGGGAATGTCTCAACATCCTCTTTCTTGGTAATCTATGTCGTCGCACAGTAATTACACAAGGATTAAGTAGCACTGGGAAACTTGTCGGTTCGTTCAGCACAAGCCTCGTGCAATTTATTCCTATTTTGATACGTTTTAACCTGATTCATTTGCAGGTACAGCAGCTCAACTGCTAACTGTCACCTGTACTGCGCCTTTTACCTCGTATAACCTGTTTTATGTCTAGAAAGCCTATAAGCTTTATTTTTTATTAAGTTTTTGGCCAAGTTAAGCGTGCACGTGGGTGAGTATCGAGAGTGTGTTGTAGTTGAACGTTTTTTTTGGGGGGGGGGGGCAAAGCAGTATATGATAAACAGATGTCTTTTATCCGGTCTACGGTCAACTCGGCCCCCCTGCCAACTCGCACCCGCATTGTGGCGAGTTCACTCGTCTGGAGATCGGTGAGCTCGGCTCGTGGGATGAGTTCATCCTCCTGGAGATCGGTGGGCTCGCCTCGCCGGCTAACTCGTGAGATGTTTCACACGCCCCAACGTCGAAACGTTTGCATGTAAGTTAGTACATTTGATACACGCACGTGTATATATCAAATGTACTAACTTACATGCAAACGTTTCGACGTTGGGGCGTGTGAAACATCTCACGAGTTAGCCGGCGAGGCGAGCTCACCGATCTCCAGGAGGGTGAACTCATCCCACGAGCCGAGCTCACCGATCTCCAGACGAGTGAACTCGCCACACGGTGCGAGTTGGCTGGTGGGCCGAGTTGACCGTAGCCCATACATACAGTGTACAACGGAAGAGATGAGAATGTATATCAGAGTACGATTATATGGAATATATATGTATTTATATTATATATATATATATATATATAGATATATATATCAGCGAGTTAATCAGAAGACAAAACATCTTGTCAAGACAATGTTTCTTATTAACTCTGAAATATATATGATTATATATATATATATATATATTGTAATAACGCTCATAACTCTCGCGACGACAGGAGCCAACACCTGCTGTAAACGCAGGTGCTTCAATTTGAGAGCCATCATATCAGGTGGTGGATGATATCTATTATGTGCGCGCGCGCGATGACGTGGCTAGCTAGCCAGCGTCAGTTCATCATTACCTGCATCGCTTTAATTATACCGCACGCGCGCGCTCGCGGAGTCGCTCAGCGATGCAATGCGGGGTCTCGCATCGCCCAGTAGGGTCGAGCGCAGTAGCCACGGCGCAGACTGAACCCTGTGGTTTAGCCTGCTCAGCTCGCCGGGCGCGCTGATTATACCGGTATGCTGCGGCCACCACCGCGCCACCACAGCGTTCCCGATGTCTGCACTCATTACTGACGCACGTAATTAAATGTCGCCCCGAGGTTCACTGACAGTGGCATGGACCTTTTCCAAACTTCGCACTACCCAGAGGGTGCGACATTACCCACGGAGAGCAGGCAGAGAGCCAAGATCCGGGCGGCGTTATCAAGCAATAACACCAATATAGCCAACAACGAAGGTACAAGCGTGCAGGACCGTTGGCACTGGCCCTATTGCGATCTCGATTATGCGACCTAAAATATTGTGATTAAAAGTTGCTATCGGGGTCATCACCGTCCCTACTCTGAGTCACGCGCACGCGCAGAGCACCTCAAATAGCAAATCATAGCATTCAAACAGGAGTACGTGCAACGGTTGTGTTCTGTCACCGAGCACATAAGACGCGTCATGCATATGTGTAACATTGTGGTCATGATAACAGACGAAAATGACAAATAAAAATGATAGCATGACAGTGGGCGACCTAAAAGGGCTACGGTCAACTCGGCCCACCAGCAAACTCG